CGCTTATGTAATATAAATAATATCTGCACATTTGCGTGTGTGTGTGTGAGCATTGGTTGCCTTGGAAAAAAAACCACTTATTTTTTTTGTGACATTTAAAAACCTTCAAAATTTTGACAAATGTCTCAAAGTCAACTCAAAATAACTCAAAAAAATCTGTGACCTACCTAGAGTTGTAGGCTTAAGCGCACAAGTGTGTTCACATGTATAATTGATGAGCTTCTCCAAATAACAATATTTGCCAACAGAGACGCATTCTTGATTTGCCTTTTTGGCATGTGCTTAAGGAAGCTCATCGCGTGTGGTAGCCTCTTTAAAAGGAGGCTGTGGGCTTAGTCGAGTAGGTGAAGATACTTGAGGCTTTGCTACTCCCGACCTTCACTCACCACTTGAACTTAGGAAACCCCTAGCATGGATTGCGAAAAATGCACAGTACCACCACAGCACTTACCCTGTAAGAGAACGATCCTCTTAGCGTTAGACTTGTCAAAAGCCTTTGACACAGTCAGTCACACAACGCTACTGCAGGACATAAAACAAACTACGCTCCCTCCAGGACTGAAGTGGTGTACAATGAACTACCTGAGCGATGGTCAATAATCCGCACTATTTCGAGCAGAAAATAATAATAATAAACTGAGAAGAATTAAACAAGGGGTTCTGCAGAGTGGTGTCCTCTCCACGCTATGGTTTAATTTTTTTATCTCGAAACTCACACCGCAGCCACCAGAGGATGTTTCCATAACCTTATCCGCTGATGATTGCACAATATTGATCTCGGGAAATAGAATCGATGGCTTTCTCAATTTTTCTCTGCACGGGCCTTAACACTCTCCTCCACCAAAGCCACAGCAACCATATTTAAAAACTGGACAAAGGAGTACAGACTTGACATTAATAATGTAATCGATGGCGTCAAGATTGCCACTGTTACTAATCCTAAGATTTTAGGTGTAACTTTTGATAGTCTACGCTCCTTCGCTCCTCATACGACCGCGATTATCGTCAAGGCACAAAGCCGCAACAAAATCCTCAAGTCGCTAGCCGGACAAAGGCAACTTACAAGCCAATCGGCCGGCTAGCTCCCAACTACTCCGGACCAATATGGTGGCCTAGATGCTTCTAGAGGAAGCTTCAGACTTGTGAGAACACTGCACTTCGGATAACGACAGTATGCCTCCTGATATCTTCTATTGCACACCTAAATTGTGCGGCGCTATGCTCCCAGTTAAGGATCATAATGAACTGCTCTCCAGGCATGAGCTCGCATCGCAGACGATGAGCTCGAGTTCCCAATATATGTCCTGCTTACAATGAGTCTGACACCTCTTTGCATGCCCTACTAATCCCACTCATCTAACACCCCTCTCGCTTTGGTCCGACCCCGTCGAAACAGCACTTTCTTCAGCCTTCAACAACAGCACAGTCTAGATTGGTTAATAGTTTAAATGTAATCTAATCACTCGAAATTTTCGGTCGAAACATGGTGTAAGCTGCGCTTCAAACTCCTCATTTTGTTCTGCTTAAATTTTCTTTGAAGGAAGTGCAATAAAAATTCTATTTCGCAACTATTTATTTGTCCAGCTCTTTTTCTCGCAATACTTGCTGTCATTTCACTTAAATCGAAACTTTTCTCATATCTGCACTTAGTAGACAATTTGCAAGTTTGCTTTCGGCACGACCCAGCGAACTATTACAGAAGCAAGATGGGAAATTATATGCTGCCGTTGTCGCTTAAAGGCGCCCGAAGCAAAAAGTTGCAGCAAGCGCGCAATGCAAAATTGTGGAAATGCTTGAAAAACATTTCACTTTGAGCCAAATAAATGGCGGTTGGTGGAAAAACCAGCGCGCCGACTGGCACTCACTTTCTGCCCTAATTGAACACCACCTGGCGGCGCTCCTGCTGTCCTCTGCCAGCAACAACTTTTATCCAGCGCGTTGTTGCAACATTCCAGCTGCTAGTAACTACTAATTGCTTGACTTTTTTCACAATATTTTAATTTATTGTTATTCTTCAGCGCTTTTCTAGTTGCAACAGCTACACAATTAATTCGCGCTTACTTGCAACACGGACAGCATGCCAACAGTTTGCTGTTTTGTCTTACGCCTTTGTTTTGCGCTATTTGCGTGCAGCATATTATTACGGTGTGTGCTCGTGCATGCCACTGTTTGTTGCAAGTTGCCACAACAACAATACGTGCAACATACAAGCCTTAATGCCACTCAATAGCACATTAGTAGCTTGCTTTGTACGCCTCACACTGTCCCGCCGCTGCCTTGGTGGCACGAGTGCTTGCCATTCGCCACATTCAAGAGCAAATTTGAGTCCTTGCGTTGAAGCGCAACCAATGCGTGCCACACACACGCACGCACAGTGCTCGGCAACTTGTGAATCGAGTGAGTGCTCTCGGTAGCGGTTAATAATGTCTTCTGACAGCAGCATTATCCTACTCCGTTGCTGCTGCCACAAGTGCTGCTTATGTTGCCACCACTGAAGGGCAGTTCTATGTGCTTTCACCTTGCATTGTGGCACGTTGCTTGCCGTCTAGCTGCATGCTTTCTCAATCTCTTCGCTTTTGATTTCTCTTTGTGAGTGTGTGTTTATGTATGTGTGTGTGGCATCCAACCCGTTCAATGTCAAGGCTCTCCGTTGGCAAGCTAACCGACAACTGTTGGCTAGTCAACGGCGAAGCTATTTGTTACATTGTTGTTGCTGTGTTTTTTTTTACTTGCTTCGGCATTTGTTGCATTGTGGCCAACATGAAAAATAGACGTGCAACTTATTGAAATTGAAACTTTTACCACAAATTCGCTTTTGCTTACTGGCTCCTGAGCGCCGGTACTCTCCAGCGAACACACAGACGCGCACACACATACCCACAGATACGGTCATTCCTCATTGTTGTTGGTCGTGCAACCAATTGATTTGGTATGCCACTTCGCTATCGTTCGCCTTCAATATCCCCAGCGATCAGTTTGGCGTGTTTGTTGAATAATGTACTGTTGTTGTAGTTGTTGTTGTTGGATTGATTGTATTTAATCATTAAACAGTCACAACAAGCAAACCAATCCTCATGTTGAATATAAAATGTCCGTTGAAAAGTTAGTTCTGCGCACCAACCGGATACACCACAACGCTAACCTGCAACAACACGCGCAACCAAATCGACACACACACCCTACTCCATTGTGGAGTATACATATGCGAATGTGTTGAAAAGCGTGCGTGTGTGTTTCCCGTAATGTGAGTATATTGCATGTTCTTACTCCTCAGCATGCTCTGGCGTGTGCATTCAGAGACGGTGTAAATAACGCATGACACAGATAACAGTTGTTTCTTACAGGCCAACATTTGCGCAATGTGGTTGCCGAACCCTACCCCTAACCAGGCTTTGATCTAGAATTATACTATACTGCTGTACGCAATGCAGTTAGTGAGCATACAAAGGTGCCCAACAGTCCATAAGCTTTCTTTTAACAAGTGGAATATTCCAATAACCAATTCACACATAGGTATTTACTTCACATCTCTTCAAAAAATTCAGAAGTTACCTCTTCTGTTTCAACCCCTCGACTGTCTGGATGAACTAACCGAGAAAGTCCAAGACCTGGAATAAATCTCAATAACCTATCGGCTCATAGAAAGGTGCCTTGGCACCTTCGCCAACTGGGCAAAACTGTCTTTTCAAAGGAAGGACAAAAATCTCGAAAGTCAATCTCCTCTCCTTTAGAGGTAAAACTATTGCACTCTCGAACTCGGAGCACCATTTCCGAAAAGTGGGGTTCAGGACCCCATATCGAATATTGGATTTGCAAAAACCAATACTAACATATAAAGTTTGTCCGAAAAGTAATAGGATTGCTTTTCTTCCGCCGCGACTGTACTTTCGAGCATGTGCGCACCGACTGGATTCGGTAAAGGGCGCTTCTAGCTAACGAACGAGCGTCTTTTCAGTTATCTCCGAGCACCTGGAGAGTTCGCGCGACGTCTTGCTATAAGTGGTACAGGCCATTCATTTCTGTGTGAAACTCCGCCTTTTTTGGGAACAGCTGCCTAACTAGGCTGGCATCTTAACGCTTCCGCAGCTCCCTACAGCAATGATGTGCAGAAGGAGCCTATTTTGAACGTTTTTTAAGAATTGTAACGATTAGTTGAACAAATTTTTTTAAATCGACTCAGTCGTATTGCTTTCCGGCCTAACTCTGTAAGATGCGGTGGTATGGTGGTTGACATTATCGAAATCCCTGGAGGAAGTACAAAGGAGCAATGAAAGTTACGTCAACTAAGGCTCTTGACGTTATTCTCGACATCCGCGCAATACAGATATAGTACAAGTGAAGTATGAGACAATGATTCCAGCCAGCCGGCTCATGAAGGGATACCTGTAGGGAAGTAAACACAACGTTTCATTCCCCAAAATAGAAGAATGGACCAAGGATTCTGTGATCGACAGCTTAAACGGACAAATATACATATTCACCGTCGAATTAAAGTCTGAAATAAGAACAGGAGCGGGCTCCTTTTTTAGTAATTGATACACAGAAGATAACTTTAAGGTAAATGTTTATAATTCAGTCTTCACTGCCAAGTGGGCCTCGGCTCTAACCAGTACATAACGGCCCTACAAGCTGACCGGTCCAAGAACCTTGAAGAAGGAAGATTTTTGTGAAGAGCGTTAAAGCTTAGGGTATTGAATCCTCCCGGCGTATCAGGTCACCCGTAAATTATTTTTTCCTTAATCTTTGTTATTTTAACTTTCGTTTTCGTTGAGTTTGAACCTTGTTCTCATGTTTTTTGTTCTCAAAACTGATCTCAACTCTCGAAATTAAAAAAATTTAATTCAATTTTTTCATATATATAAATATGTGTAAAAATAATGTTGCACAAAGTAATGCAAATGATTTATTTTCAAAGAGAAAGCATTTTGTGTAAATAAGGAAATTCATTAACTGAAATTTAATTAATTTTCCCCTCACATATTTACACATTTAAATTGCAGAAAAGCGGAGAAGCCTGGCGTGTTGGGGCGGCCATAAGCAACGCGACGCAGTAACTGCACTGGGAGCTTTTCCAACCAGCAGCGAAAAGAATAAAAACAAACAAGGCAGAGGGACAAAGAAATTGATAAATATTGCAACACAAATAACTACAAATAAAAAAGCAACCACACACGCCACTGCTCATACACACACCTAGAAGCAACGCTTAACCCACCAACTATCACAAAGCGAAAAAGCGAGCATTTAAAGAATTGAGTGACAGTCGCATATGAACCAGTGGCACTGAGCGCTGACAATGACAATATCCGAAACAGCGGAAACGGATATCAATGCACTGAAAACCAGCGCGTGAATGCCAAAACTGACAGCAGTGACGAGCGCCAGTTTGCAATCCTTGCGCCCGCACCTCTCGCCCCACTTAACCCTTCACAACGCGACAGCGGAGATGGCCGGCAGCGCGCGCGCGTCCAATTTCAATGGTCAGAGCGCAAGCAATAAATTATTGCGCGCTTTAATCGACGACAACAACAACCGCATCGAAGCTGACGATAACCATAACACAAGCATATCGAACAATTTGAGCGCAACCATCACCTCGGCGGGTTCAAATGCGACGCGCGTTTTGTACACATACTTTCAGAACATCACCGACCCGCAATCCTACACGGCCATGTCCAATACGACTACGACAACAACAGCGGCAGCTGCCAGTGGGAGCGTCATCGATAGCGCAACAACAGAAAGGCTACACAGTCTCGTCAGCAATGCCAGTGAACCACAAATTGGCAGCAACGATCTGGCGGCGACAGCGCGAAGTGTGGGCGCCACGCTGCTCAGCACCGCCAAAACATTTCTGCAAGCGCCTATTAGCGCGTCCGCGAATGCCACGCGCACAGCAACTGCATTGGCGAATGCAACCGCGTCAATTTCAGCCTCCGCCGCGACCTATGCCACCGAACTGCTGAACTCGACACTGTCGCGTACGCTGACAACGAGCGGGAGTGACGCTAGCTCGGCGCCCAGCACCATCGTTTTGACCACCTCGCCCAACGTCACTTACCTGCCGCATCAGGTCGCCATACGCAGCTTCGAGGACTGCGCTGCGCTCTTCGCCAATTACACGCAGCCGCAGAATGGTAAGTAGCCACGGGCATAATAAAATAACAGCCAATAACAGCAAGTTACCACAGCTTGCAACAAATGCTTAAATATGTATACGTTTGTGTCAGGGTAAGCGGTTGAACGCGCTTGTTGTCGCAATTGTAATTTTGTTGTGCTTTATGGTCACTATTAAATCAATTTTGTGGCGAATTGCCGCGGGCAGGCGCGCGCTCCGTGGATGCTGTCAGCGCAAACGATTGTTTATGCAAATATGTCCGGTTACACACACATACACACACAGGCAGCCACACTGTCATCAATGATAGTTCGCCATGATTTATGACGTTCTGAGGCAGCTGCTTTTGATTAGTCACACACCGACTTGCCTACTCTCTGACGCTTAGTTTCTTCGTTTAGCGACTGGATGTGCGCTAATTCAGCGCATTTACTCATTATTTTGATTGATTAAGCGCTTTCCGCTAGCGATTAATCAAATTCGCTATAAAAATATCACAAATGCATGGTAGAGTAAGTTAGGGGCCACGATAGAACGATTTGTATGACCAATTTAAGCCTCGATACTGCAGGATGGCAGTCACGTAGTCTTCATTCGGGAATTACATGATCTGAGCTGGTTTTTTGATGAATCCGTAATGGATTAAAAAGCATCCTCAGATTCCATTGTAACTCAGTTTTTTCAATATGATTTGAACCCAACCTTAGTAGAGAGAAACACCTGAGATCGACATATAGGGTTTGTCCGGAAAGTAATAGGACTGAGTCGATTAAAAAAATTCTCCGGAATAGCCTTGAGAACCTGGATGCATGCTGCTTGGATTCCCTTTCATCGGCCTTTTCAGGCAAGGAAACAAAAAAAGTCCGAGGTGTGGGCCACATATAGGCTGTAGAGCGGCTGCAGAAGCGTTGAGATGCTGGCCTTGGTTAGGTAGCTGTTCACAAAAAAGGCGGTGTGAGCCGGGACATTATGCAACATAGCGGGACGTAATGCAACTTCCAATCGGCTGCGATGTCTTGTCGGATCCGATTGACCCTTTGTTAGAGTCTCTTGAGGACTTCTGCGTAAAACTTGGCGTTGACGGTTTGTCTAGAAGGAACAAATTCATGGTGGACGATATCAGAAAAGAAAATGAGCATACTCAAATATCCATGATTCGTCACCTGTGATTACGTAAATCAAAAATTGGGGTCACTTTTACACATGTTCAAATTTTCTTGGCACACTTCCATTCGCCGCACTTTCTGGTTGTACCTCTGGTGTAACGAATGCTGCATTTTCGGCTTGCACCTCTCACAAAAACACGTTTCTCGAAAATTTTTATCCTAACTCTCCATGTGCTCGGAGAAAGCTGACCAGCCACAAGTTCGTTATCTATTAACGCCCTCTACCGAATCCAGGAAGAAAATCAGCCTTATTGCTTTCTGGGCAAACCCTGTACATATACGGGCTCAAAGACTGAGAAATGCAAGTGTAGATTTTGACCGGATCCGGATATTAATTTAGTGAAAGGCAGCTGTAGTCTCTTTCTAGGAATCACAAAACCGCCAGAAGCCCTCTTCTTAGTGTCAGCTAGGTATTTCTCCAATTTGTTGTACTAATTTAAGTCTAATGCGATAACCGAACCCGAGAACGGAGTTCATTCCGCTATTCACAACCTAACCTGAAATATGTAAGTAACAATTATGAACGGTGTAAACAGACACCCTATTTGCCACAGCCAAACTTTTGCCAACACCTCGACAAACTGGCGACAGCATTAAAGTTTGTTAACACAAGAATTAGCAAAGCTATTGGACGCTGGCGTAACTGTTAACTGACGACTTCTAGAACAACATTTCGGCTGCAACTCGTTCAGTATTTGTTCAGGTAACAAGCAAGAATGAGATGGCGAGCAAATAGGAAGACGGAAATTATAATGAAGTTGAAGGAAAATTGCATTTGAGTTGCCGAGCAGAGCCAACAACAACAACTGCAGACTGTTAATTGGAAACAACGTTGTATTTGACTAGAAATGTGAGGATTCAGTAGACGCATTTGTGATGTGTCAACCGGTTGAATGCTTTAATGGCATTAGCAAAGGACATTTGGCAGTTGAACTGCCCATTTGACTGCAGCACAGTTGCACACACACACGCTCAAATAGAAACTATGATGTGTCTATTTGCGTAACTCACAATCATAGGCTACCAAGCGGACGACTGCAATGATTGCACTGCCGCTTCTCACTACTTTCTAGCTTTGCTGAGAGGGGCTCGCCAGCACTTCAAGCTCAGCCAAAATCGCTGACATTGTCTGCTGCTACATAACAGTGTGGCGCTTGTCTGACCAGCTGCTGCATATGCAAATCAATTGTGGCATGCAACACGCACAAATCAAGACAGACAAACGTTGGTGTGGCATACCGGGGCGTATGAGTGTTTAATTTGCGATTGACGACTCTCAGCACAACTGAGCTTTCGCTTTTTTTTTTTTTTTTGAAAGTGGAGTGAACTGCTTGCCAGCCAATTGTCTGCCGCAGTGCGACGCCATTTCACATATGCAAGCAGACCAGACTTATTTTTAAACATTTTCTATCATTTGAAGCGCTGCAACAAAGGCGTTGGCAAGAATTTGCTTCCGAACTGCCAACTCACATCAACTTTGTCAGTCTCCGCCGCAACCAAGTCAACTGAAAGGCCACTTTGAAGGCTGTCGTTGCCAGAATGGAGCTTGTGACGCAGATAAGCGCGTAAGGGAAGGGGAGCAGGGAATATTTGTAGCAAAAGTCGAAAGCATAGGCGCAGCCATTAAAGCAGGCACGTTTAGGCTATATGTGGCAAGACATATGATGGCGGAACTAGAGCTGGAGCCTCACCTTACATTTACTGACTGACTGCTAGCTTAAATATAGTTTTATTATAGACAAGAATAGCCTGCGGAGGTCAGCAGCGTAGTAGGCATTGCCAGAAGCTTGCCACATGTGCAATGCAGTGCTGAACTGGTCACTGCAAACTGACAGCCAGCCTCGAGGCTAGCCACATCTATGGCAATTATGCCTCCACCCGCATTTGCGCATATGTTTGCAATCAATTAATTGGAATATCGTAAACAATTGCCAGCAAATGATAACAACAAACCGCACAACCTCGATTGACTCCGGCAAATTGCTGTCAGGCAGTTGGATATCCTTGATTGCAGAGACATTTTCAAATGCATTGACCCAAATATTAAAGTCACTGGTGTAATCGAAGTGAGTGGCTACTAAAAAATGTAGCGGCACATTGCTCTAACAGTGCAACTTGTATTTGCAACCAGGTAGCCAATGTGCCACAAGTGTTTGTTGACGATATGAAGTGGACGAGCCAAGCTTGTGATGGCATGGACAGCGCACATTAATCAAAGCGCATCGCGCTGACAGCCTAATGACTAACAACAACAGCAAGAAGAACATGTCATTAAACTCTGCCAACGTGCTCCACTTTCAGACTTCGGTTGGTTCTTGCATGCTCGCAAAAAAGTCGTGCTGAGTTTTTCTGGGTAATCTCTATGGAGGAAGCAAACCTTAGTATGTACACATAACGATATGTCTGTCCATACTTTGTCGTACCCCCTGTGTGTTTGTCCGTTTGTCGGCTCAGCAGAGGAGTCACAATCATTGACTGTCTTGCATATTCATTTCATTTGCGAATGCACAAGCTTTGGCATGCAATTGTTAATTGCAGTGTTGCATGCAACGCTAGGCATTTTCAAGAAACGTTTATGCAGGCGTGCGTGACTAGCTTGTGTGGGTGTGCGCGGCGGAAAAGTCTAGTGGATACCACAACAACGAATCAATTGTTGCCACGGCAGAAAGTCCAGTCTTCTGCTTGCTATTTATAAGCTTTGTATGTAGAAGTCGCACTATTTTTATCTCTGCCGTCTGACCAGTGTATTTTTAGCCCCCGCCCCAGCGGGCTTGGCAACACATTTTGCTGATGGTTAGACCGCACCGCGCGCTGTTGCTCCGCCAGTTATTTCATTATTTTAGCTGACCGTTTGCGTTGTGTCTTCAATGATTGTCATTATATTATATTTCTTTTATGGGCAGTACATATAGGTGTCCTACATTGTGCAACACTTTTTATTAAAGAATTGAGTAAAAGCAACTAATAAAATTGCAAAAAATAAGGGAAAATACTAGCCAGAAACCCAATCCAGATATTTTAAAATTTCAAAGCCTTTGCAAAGAGTGAGCTGAGTTCAGAGAATCCAAAACCAAGCTTCGTTAAGCAATCCTATTTTGAATAAAATTGCTGCCTAGTTACATAGTGAATGGATATAGACAATCCGAAACTAAAAAGCTTAGTCAATCGAATATTCGGAACATAGTTCGATCCGAACAGTCGACTCTCGACTTGCCGTTCCAAATTGTGTTAGACTAACAACCCTTCGCAGGATTAAATCTGGGTCAATTCCGGTAAAGTAGCACTGGCTGTTGTGGGAATTGTCCAAATAGTCAGCAAGTGGTATCGAACGAAGTCCAATTACCACTTTGGAGTATAATTCTAGTTGTTATAACCAACTTACTGGTTACCACTGCAAACAGGGTTAGATACCCGAAATAACAGCCCTTGTCAGGTTAAAAACTGCGTTCCACAAATTCTCACTGTAGAGGAGAATCTTCTAACGCATGAATCCTTAATGCCAGACCTTTTTATAGCTGTTACGCAAATAATCATACTTCTGATTTGCCTCTTAGATACATTTAGTATAACTAGAATAGGTAGAGCGACTCTAACGGCGCGGCAAAAATAGCACGAGAAGTCTAGAAGCTTCCGATAACTAAATTTAATACCTATAAATGAAGTTTCGAAAAGCATCTGAAGAGTTCAAAAATAGTCATGTCGTCTGTCTGTCTGTATGTATGCGAACTACTCCCTACCTTTTGCGATATCGATCTGAAATATAGCAAACGTGTTTTTCTCTGCAAGAAGTTGTTGATTTGTCGGAACCGTCGATATGGGACCACTGTAGCATATAGCTGTCATGCAAACAGGACGAACGGAATCAAGGACAGCTTTTTAATTTGACGAGATATCTTCTTCGAATTCTACATGGCATATTGCTTAAGGATATGATGAAATTTTCGAATAAATTGTTCAGATCGAATCACTATAGCATATAGATGCTCTTCTTAAGAGGGTAGGAGGCCCAAAAACTTTTTAATAATTAAGACTCAATTTGATATCCACGAAAGCTGCCAATTTGCTTCAAATCCGACCAAAGCACCTGCAACTATGTAATACGTATGTTGCACGTGCCGCACGCACGAACAACCAATGAAATTACTTTCTAGTTGCATAAACATTTGGTGGCTTTAAGGGAAATTCGAAAATTTAATGCTATGACCAAGTGGACAAGCGAAAGCGTCAAGATTACATAAACCACACTTTGATTATGGAGATTATATAAATCAAATAAGCTTATACATACATACTCGTACAACATGTAACTATTTACACATGTCCAAACGTGCCACAGCGCCGCCACTGCGCAGCACATATGAATCTAGAAGCCAGCAAACCTGATAAACCTGACATGACAAATGCATGTCAAGAGCTCAAAGAACCTCGAAGTGTCTCAGTGTGTATAAGTGTGTGTGGCACGTTGCACGATTTCTCAAGAAAGTGCAGAGTAAATATGCGTATAAATCAAGAGTGAAGAAAGATAATGCGGGCGAGCAGGAAACAGAGCAGATAATAAAATCAGAATTCACAAGAAATTTTGCTGCTGCGGCACAGTCACACTCACACTCACACATGTACATGCGTATAAGAGCACAAAGTCAGCGTTATTGAGATGAGACTTTGAGAAGCTTGCTCCTTGCTCCTTCCAGACACCAAGAAGTCTTGAAGCGCACATGTGACGCTCGGAGGCGTGAGTCGTTCATGCAACAAAGCAGAAAATGACAGAACAGCGGCACAAACGTGGCATATCATAATGCTGATGTGCTGGTAATGTGCAAGTAGCAAGTTTGTGTGCTTGTGTGTGTTCACTTTGCATTGCAGTGCATGGCGTTGCCACAGTAGTCGCGAGCTAAATATATTTGCAACTTGTTTAGTTTTATTTTTATTGCCATCACCGCTGACCAGCAGCAGTAATAAGATACATGATAATAAATTAGGGCTCGCACAGCCTCAAGGGTAATGCACTGCAACCTTTTTATGTTGCTGCAACAAAATTACAAATTTCAATCAAATCGTTGAGTTATATGTGTAAATAGGGCGGCTCGTGCGCTGTATGCGCCCAGGCAATTGTGTAATGTGTTTTAGTTGCTTTTAGTTACGTAACATTCGCTTTGGCTAGAAAGCAGGACCAACAGCGGCACATATGTGCATAACTGAGCACATAAATCGATTTGAAATTGAATTGTGTGGGTTCAAGGACAACATTATTGGCAATTTGGCAACATTAAAAAAAAGAGCTTGGAAATTCGAAATGTTAAGCGTTTGAGAAACTTTACTTCCTTAAGGGAGTTCTGCATTGACCGAAGAAAATGGTAGTCCAATGGTGCAAGGTCAGGGCTATACGGTGGATACATCAAAACTTTCCAGCCAAGCGCTCCCAGTTTTTGTGGAGTCATCAAAGATGTTTGTGGTCTAGCGTTGTCCTGATGGAAGACGTAGCCCTTTCTATTGATCAGTTCTGGCCGTTTTTTCGATTGCTTGCTTCAATCTGATCGGTTGTTGACAGTAAAATGTAGAATCAATCGTTCACCAGGCTGGATCAGCTCATAGTGGATGATTCCTTTCCAGTCCCACCAAACAATCAGTACAACCTTTCGTCAATCCTGGCTTTGAGATCATTTGTAGAGCTTCAGCATGCTTGGACCATGAACGACAACTATGGATAAAATACGAAAATACTTTGTCGACTAACCAATATTTTATTTTATCTTAATTTTCATTTAAGAATATTTAATGCTTTCATTCCAACAAAAAGCATTGCTCAATGTATTTATTTTGTTAGCAATTAAGCCTTAATCCGCAAAACCATATTTTAATTAGACTCAAATAAGCGGTTAGTCCGCAACGTCAACGCTACCAATTAAGGATTTCCAGCACACACACACACACGTGTTTACGTTAGTGTAAGTGTATATGGTGTATAAATACACACTAATGCAAATAATTAACTCTTAATTTCGGTGTGCAATGATGCAACGCTGATAATCTATTTAGAATTACATTAGAAGTGATTAGCAGCGGCATTAAGCCTTGCCACAGTGACCAAATGAAATTTCACGGAACCTTGAATTGCACACACACGCACATATCATGCACATATAGTATGTGTGTTGATATGGCTGCACTTTAATCTTTCATTGAATTGCGCACGCACACAGACACCAAATGCCATATACAACTATATGTGTGTGTGTGTGTACATTTCTATGAACTTGCCACTAATTTGTGCTTTATGTAAAATTTATGACGAAAAAAATTGCATTTTGCATAACAAAAACCTAAAGTTAGCGTTAAACCAACAGCAACAACAGCGCAGCCGCAGTCATGCAGAGGCGTAACTTGCGGCGTATTAAGCCAGTAAAGCGACATTGAATGAATGCCTGCAATTTACACATAATTTTGAATTTTTGTTTTATTTTTATATTTTCAATGAATTAATTAGCTGACAAGGCGCTGAATTAAATTTGTATTCAAAAAAAGCGTAATTAATGGGTCGCCCTCGCATGAAAATAGCTGCGCCAATCAAGCTGAAATGCAACCGCATTTTTTTCCCCAAACAGTTAAGAACAAAAAAGAATTCACGTTGATTTCAAATTGATTTTCACAGATTTGCTTTCAACCACTCATTTTCATTTCGTTTTGCAGGTGTTTTCTGCAACTGGACCTGGGACCTGTTCCTCTGCTGGCCACCGACGCCGGCTGGCGTGTTGGCGCGCATGCATTGTCCGCCCGTCGGACACGGCATTGACACAACAAGTAAGTAAACAATACAACGTTGCCTTGGCATATATTTATATATGTATGTATGTGTGTATACATGGATGGGTGTGTGGCCTGTTGACCCATTCTATTTAGTAAGTCAACTGCTTATTAGCCTTCGGGTAAATTAGACGCTCTGTCATTCACTGGTCACTCTGCATTACAAATTTACACGCACACATCGAGCAGTTGCATGCCTTCAACATAACCTCAATACTCGCATTTGATTGTGGCACACAACCTATGTAGTTTTTTGTTTCGGTCAGTAGTTAAGAGAAGTCAATTGGACAATAACTCAAAGCAATGACAGGTTATAAGCAATCAATCAGTAATTTTTTTGCCTGATAGACAATGAAACCGTTTCTATGAAAAAAAAAAAAAAAGTTGAAAAGAGCTTTCAAGGAGCTTTTTTTTTACCTAGCTGAGTCTCATGGCTGATTATTTGATTTGATCTTATTGATTTGTTTACTTTTGTAAACTGAAATATTATTTGATCAATTAGGGCTCAAGATAGTAATGAAATTTTAAATTGAATCCTGAAAGTTCTGGATTCATTTTCTGTATACGGAAAATAAATATTCGTATATTTTATTGCCTGATAGACAATGAACCGTTTATAAAAACTGTTTCTATGAAAAAAGTTGGACTGAGCTTTCAAGGAGCTTTTTTACCTAGATGATGTTTGAGATGAGGAGTTCTAATTAACACGTATGGTTTATCATTTGATTGGATCTCATTGAATTATTTATTGTTTCAAACTAAAATATTATTTTAATTAATCCCAAAATTTTTAATTGAATCCCGAAACTCGAATATTTTATTATCAGATATGAAAAAAGTTCAAATGAGCTTTCAATGAGCTGTTTTTTACCTAGCTTAGGCTTTCTGGTGTCGAGTTGTAATTAGCACTTATAACCGAGTACTTTTGTGAACTGAAATATTATTTGTTGCATTAGAAATGGGAATAATCCCGAAATTTTGAATATAGTCCCGAAATATCGGCGTTAATACTAAAAAAATTAAAATTGGTATATTTATGTAACAAACGGGTGCTGTAGTAAATTTGTATAAAATTCAACTAAAAGTTATTAGTTTTAGAAGAAGATCACAAATTGAAGCCTATGCACAGGCGCTGAATATACTTGAGCGCAAGTAAATCAGGCAATTGTTGTTAGATTTCAGTACTTTGAAGCTTTTGCTGAACCGTTGAATAAATATTTGCTTTCTCGTGGAAATGCGAGCTAAAAGTTGGTCTTCAAAATCCGTGCTAAGCTAGCGAATAAGTGTGGTGTATTGCAAAGTTTTGTAAATTGTAAAATTCTTTAAATATCAAACTGACTTAGTATGTATGTATGTACATATGTATCTAAGCAGCCAGGGACATATTCTTAAGGCTCATGTATGGCTCATTTTGTTGTTGCACTTCCGGTTCTGTTTCCGTTACCAATTTCCTTTGTTCCCACACTTGCGGCATTTTTGTTGCTTTTGCCGCCAGTCATCCGCATGCGGCAACACAACAACAAGTTGTGATGAAAATAACCGTGTCATGCACGCAGACACCCAAACACAATGACAACGCGTCTGTGGCGAGCAAATGTAAAATACATACAAATGATTTTCCATTTCCCTTTCACACTTCCAACTCATTATATTTGCCGCTTACAACGCCACCAAAAGCGACGATAACATCAAGCGCCAAACAGCAAAAGGCAGCATGCCTACCTCAAGGCTCCTCACTTGGCGTGCCACCCCAATGCAGGTTGCAAGGCTGTGCGTAATTTCGTTTGATTTATTCATGCAACGCAGTGAAAATGTGTTGGAATTTTAACTTAATTGCATTTGTGGCCGAAGGTTTGCGGTCTCTATTTTTAAACCTTTGAGTTTTAAATTTAAATTCCCATTATCATCACAAAGTGGCAAATGGGCGGCCAATGAGTGGAAAATGAGCAAAGCAATAAGAGTGTGCGTGAAGCGAAAGCGTTTAACTGTACAACCATTTAAGCAGAATATTACTTTTTGCCTTGAATAAACAAATTTAACTTTTAATTTGACCTTGAAAATATAGTTAGAGCTTTAATTTGGCATTTCTTCTCTCTTCACAGAGTTCGCGAACCGCAAATGCGAGCTGGACGGTAGCTGGGGCCGCCGTCCGAATGACACGCAGAACAACACGAACGGCTGGACGGACTATCAGCCTTGCTTCAAGCCGGAAGTGAACGACATGCTGCAGCGTGTGGATGATATTGATGTGCGTCATGCCGCTAACATGAAATATATTCACACAAAAAATACCTAACTCTCAAAAATTTTACCCTTAGGTCTTCTTGGACATCGCACGGCGCACGCGCACGCTGGAGATTGTTGGACTCATATTGTCGCTGATCGCGCTGATACTCTCGCTCATTATATTCTGCAAATTCTCTTCGCTACGAAATAATCGCACGAAAATTCACAAGAATCTCTTCATCGCAATGGTCTGTCAAGTTATTATACGACTGACACTGTATCTCGATCAGGCGTTTCGGCGTGGCAGTCAACCGGCCACGTCGAATACGAGCACAGCGGGAATTGAAAACACGGTATGTGAGAGAAGCTTACGAAGAGGCACTCGAAAATCGTATTTTGTTTTAAAGCTCACTCTGAAAGCTGTCTGAAAAGATGGCGACAGCATTAAAAAGCTTTTGGGAGAGCTTTGGAAAACTAAATAACCTTAATTCTAAAGCTTTTGATGAGCTTTACACAAGTACATAAGCTGTTAAAAGCGCTTATGGAAAACTTTAGCAATTATAAGCCCTTCCCTGCGTAATGCAATCTCTTCTCTTTCTAGCCCTACCTCTGCGAGGCTTCCTACGTGCTCCTAGAGTACGCTCGCACCGCCATGTTCATGTGGATGTTCATCGAGGGTCTGTACCTGCACAATATGGTGACGGTAGCCGTGTTTCAAGGTCGGTTTCCGCATAAGATCTTCTCGCTACTCGGCTGGGGTCTGCCCGTACTGATGACCACTGTCTGGGCCATATGTACAGCGATGTATACGGACAGCGCACATGACTGTCTATGGAACTACAATTTGACGCCGTACTATTGGATACTGGAAGGACCCCGTTTTATTGTCATATCGGTGGGTGTCCCTCACTTATCAAACACATTAATATCTTATCAAACTACGATCTTTTTGTGTTTTGTGCAGCTCAACTTCTTCTTCCTTATGAACATCATACGCGTGCTGGTGATGAAATTGCGCCAGAGTCAAGCCAGCGATATCGAACAGACGCGCAAAGCAGTACGCGCCGCCATTGTCCTGCTGCCGCTGTTGGGCATCACAAATCTACTGTACCAAGTACCTGCATTGAACCTGAAGCCACCATGGAAATTTGCCATGTGGTCCTACGTGACGCATTTCTTAACCTCATTTCAGGGATTTTTCATTGCCTTGATATATTGCTTCCTAAATGGTGAGGTAAGTACGAACGCAACCCATTCAACCCATTATTTCCACAACAGCCACTGAAGTGCTCATAATTCACATATTCTCACACTCTCTTTACCAACAGGTGCGCACCGTTCTACTGAAAAGCCTCGCCGTCTACATGTCCGTACGCGGCCACCCCGAATGGGTGCCCAAACGTGCCTCTATGTTCTCCGGCGCTTATAACACTGCACCCGACACCGAGGGCCAAGGCGGTGGCACTCCGCAGGATGGCAAAAGGTAAGCCAGCTACTTGGTGGACCTACCCCTCTATCTTTCTCCATAACCACCCAAATGTAATGACTTGCTCGTCTGTTCCTTTTTTTCCGTTCTCACTATCTTTGCTTACTGTCGCCTACAGAAACGATCAATCGCCCACCACACGCCGCCTGAATGGTCGCCGCTACAGCGCCGCCAACACCGTGCACATACCGGCGCGACGTCTCTCCAGCGGCAGCACCTACCGCCAGCAGCGACGCGTCAGCAATCACAATAACAACAACAACATTGGCATCCATGCCACACGCGCTCAGAGCAACACTGGCAGCGGCAGCAGCAACAGCACCGGCGGCAGCTGGCTTTTGACGCTGTGCTTTGGCGGTCAAAAGGTACTAAGAGTACCGCCAGCGTCAACCGTACCACCCGAGTCAGTTGTATTTGAGTTGTCAGAGCAGTAGTTGTACCGTCTTACGCCTTAAGCCCTCCCCCCACCACCACCAACAACAACACCTCTCTCACTTGTATAGCAATGAATTGTGCAACCGCAACTATGAAATATTTAGTCGTAAACATGCAAATACTTAGTAGCTTTTAAGTATTTCATGCTTAGCCAAACGCTTTTGCGCCTGAAATGCTGTGACGAATGCCAATTACCCTTTGCAAGCCCTTCACCACGCCGCTTGCCTCCCCAACCTTAACACCAATGTATTATAGCTCAATATATTTACCCACACATGAATGTAGCTCCACCCCCGCTACCCAGCACTACACAACTCATTACTATTAAGGCGAATCGCACTCAAATTCGTACCGTTTAGTTTTTGTGAATTTTGTATAAAGTACTGATTCGGCAGCACGAAAACGCTAACAGAGTTACCAACATATCTTAAACGCAAACAAATTTAGGCGCCTATAAAGAAATTAAAAAAATATACATACTACGTTATATATAAAAWTATACAACATTGAACAAAATTTTGAAAAAAAACACTCGAAAATATATAAATATTATAAAAATATATTTAAATCATCAATACATTAGCTGCATGCGTACAAACAGGCTCGCTGTGACTAAACCACATTTATACAACTTTAGTAGCTACAACATAACGCCTATCCCTAATTAGGTGCAAGCCAAAACCACACTTAGCAACAACTTGTGGCACTTAAATGACGCAAACAAACCGAAAATAATATTTTGGAAAAATACTATGCACAGATAAAAGTTTAAAAAAAAATGTAGAAAACTTGCTTGGCACGTAGCGCCCGAATATTAGGTCACACACGCACACAGGCAAACATAGAAATGTTTGCGTTCGTGTTGCCTAATTTTTGATATGTTAATTCGCTGCATTAACAAATGCTGCCCGTGTCTATGCAACATGCAGCGTTGTGTGGCACAGTTCTGCCTTGCTGCGTTTTCATAATGGACCTGTTTTCTACACACACACACACGATCATACAAGCACACACATTCATTAGCTTTTTACATATTTTCTCCAAATGTGCTTCAAGCAAAAATGGCCGACGCGGCAATGGACGAAATTTATTTGCTGCATTCATTAACATCAATAAATGTGTTGAGGCACTTTCCCTGCGCCCTAAAACAACAAAAAAAACACGTTGTACGTTCCGCGACAGCTAAAAATACAATACCAACAAAAACAGCAACAAAGACAAAGCGTCACCTGTGCGCCGAGTGGAAAGTGTTGAGCGCTGACGCTACTTTGTTATAAGTGGGTAGCGCTGTGTTGTTGTTACTGTTGCTGCTGTTGTATTTTTGTGTGGCAGCAACGTAGCAACGAATTATGCGTAACGGCAAAACCATGAAATTCATGCAAACTAGCGGACGGACACATTTGTCCAAAAATTTTAGTAGCCAAAAGAAGTGAAAACAACAACAACAAAGCACACCAAATAGCAGAGGTAGAAATGAGCAAAGCAAAAAGGTTAACTAATTTCAAGCGCCGTTGCAGCGGGGCACTGTATTATACAAAATAAATATGTATAAAATTTCGGTAAAAAAGAGAAAATGCACGAAATGAATAAGAAACGTGTAAAAAGCAATTAAAATTAAAAACGAAACGTAAAAATCGATGTGGCTTCGTATATGCATGCATGTTGAAATAGCAGGCGTGCCACAAACAGCGACGACGACGATGTCACTGACGCCGCGTTATGCGAACGAAGCAATAATACGTTTCGACATTCCGGCAATGACGTCCAATATGGGGCAAGAGCAAAGTGCCAGCAAGCATAATTCACCGACTAGCCGACGATATGCAGCGCGTGTGTGGCTAAAATTGGCTACGAGCAGCGAGAAATCGGCGCTGCATATTTATTCAACACAATCAAAATAACAAAAAAAAAAAAAAAACAAACAACGCTGAGGAGTAGTAGGGTTAAACTAGCTGAAACATTAACTATTTTCTTGGCAAGCGGCTGATTTCATTTTAACTTATTTCTTTCAAACTGATTTGCTCTACAAAACAGTCAGCATGTTGAGGGGATTCCCTAACTGTCAAGCACCTTACAAAGATAGAGCAAATATTTACTTCAACAACACGATACTCGAGTTCGGCAGAATCGAAGCTATAATACCCTGCACAGGTGCTTTCTTTTATCATTACACTCTATTTGAGATCATTAACTTCGTTTTGATCGTTCAGTTTGTATGACAGCCATATGCTATAGTGGTCCGATTTCAAAAATTTGATCCGAGGTTGCAGCGCTGCTTTAGACACTTATCTATGCTGAATTTCGTATGGATAAAAACTCAAATATGTAAGCTTTTCATATAGGCATCTGATTTGAATCCTTCAGTTTCTATGACAGCTATATGTTACAGTGATCTGATTTGAAGAATATCGACGACTATTGGAGCGTTACTTTAGACAATAGTTTATGCAAAATTTCGGCAAGATTTTTTGTGAAATGAAAAGTTTTTTCTACAAGGACTTGATCTGTATAGACAGACGCACAGATAGAAGGGAATGGCTCGACTCCAGAGTATCCGACTTTTCCTGAGTGCGTTTAGAAGGACGGGAATGGCTAAATCGACTCAAAAGTCTCCGACTTTTCCTGAGTGTTAAAAACTTCGTTGAATCTAATTTACCTTGTTCAGGGACAGGCATTATGAAAAGAGCACATTTCAAACAGAATGAAAAGCATCACGCAGAATGATGGACCGATATTTCTGAATAAAATAATAAAACCAAAATAAGTTATGTGTACGAAGGTTTGTATGGTATTAAAAAACGTCGAATTTTTAATTTGGTGTGGCAACAAGTAATGACGCAAGATCTTCAGTGATAGTACTAAGCTTATAAGTCGGCTAAACTGTTAAGAGTTGCCAGTGGTTACCTGGATTTCCACCTAACACAAATGCTAAGTGGGCATGTGTGCTTTAGAGTCTACCTGTACAGTTCACAGTACGGTATTAGTCCGCACTGTCGGACGTGTTCTTTTATTGCTCTCCTTTTTTAAGTACAAGGGAAAAACTTAGAACTACACTCGGTGGTAGTTTTACCATGGAAAATTTTACGACACTTATGTGTCAGTCTTTTGAGTACTGGAAAGCTGTCAGTGAAGCGGCAGTTTCAATCATGATAAAACTGAGATATATAGAGCAGAGTAGGCGTCTGTCAGTCCAGTCTTATCACTCCCAAAAAAACAGGTTAAGTTTCTATTTATCTTAGTGGATCCTGGCATATCTAAAAGGCTGCAATAAGTCATCACGTGAACAAATCTAACTACATTTCTGTGGCTGCAAGCCAAGGATTATTCGGTGATTGTACACCATGATCGTGCGACCGATAATCACGTATGGGGCGGTGGCTTGGGTCTCAAAAGCTTCACAGACTTCGGTAAGGCTCCAACTGTCGAAGTTGCAACGACTAGCATGTATCTGCATGTCTGGTGCAAGGCGCACTTTTCCGACGGCAGTACTTGAAGTCATGCTAGACAGGGTGTGGCAAAGGTAAGGTAATCTCGTTCAAACGGATGAAAGAATTAACGTACAGTAATACCTAAAGGGTTAAGGGAGCAAAACTAAATGGAGCGGCTCCATTCTCGAGCTCCTACTGAGCGATAGTATGATCCACATCTATGGGAAAACAAACGCAACTATCGCAATGAGTGTATAACCATACTTAGCGATAGTCAAACGGCACTAAAAGCAGTCTCCTCCTGCGGCATCAAGGATCCCTAGGGACTTGAACTGCTCGCATTTTACATTTGCCACTGCAAGCTGAGGAAACATTTACACCTAGCTGCTTGCAAAAATTGTCGGTGCTGCGACGGGAAGCCTACATAGCCGTCTATCGACGGTGAATATTTGTGATTTAGGAGGGGGCACAATAGACCTAAGGAACTTTGGATGAGATCTATGCGATCACCAAACTATATTTCAACATAACACATAAATAAATTGGAACAACAATAAAAAGGTTTTTAGCTGCCTGAGCTCGCTCAGAATATTCTTAAGTTTTCTTCAATTTCGAATAAGTTTCCACATTTGCAAAGCACTCTTAAAGCCAGCCAAATATAATTTGCAGAAGCTTTAATATTCACTTTTGCAGCATAATTTCTATAACACTGTCATCAAAAATAGAGCAAGCGCCACTTGGGTCAAAAAAAATTGTAACTTCATAATTTTCCATTAACACCAAAATGCCATCAGCGAATGAGGAAAGCCAAAAAAAAAACAACAAAAAGCAAAAAAGAAAAATTACAGCAACAACGACAAAGGCAATAAAACGGCAACAAAAAGCAAACACAAATTCGCTAATCCCGAACAAAGGACGAAAAATAGGCGTGCACATACATATAGACAATTCAAAGCATATACTTATGTAATGTCATGTGTAGCACAATTACTTACATGCCCCAGCGGAAAACTCATTAACTAAGTGAGCATTTATTGCCTACTCAACGCCATAAACACGCGCGCGCCATGTCGGCTTGTCAGTTTCAAGGACTAAAAGATTTCCAAAGTGGTCAAATAAAAGCACTATATACACTTAAAATATAATATGGCCAGAAACTGGCTAGAAAAGGTGCATATGTGCCTGGACGCGCACTAAATATCATTTAAGTTGTATAATACAAGGGTGCATATGGACTTAGCCATTGGTTATATAACGGTAAATGGCATTTTAAGGTAACCACATTAGTTTGGCAGTGCAAAGCGCAAATGGTCAGGATTATATTGGCATACGTGAGGTGGTGGCGCGCCGCGGTAAGCATGGCTAAAGCTACTGTATCGCCTATATATATACTTACTAAGGTCTAGCGTGAATGCTAGTTGCCATTTTGGCTTAATGCCAAGTGTAGCTGTTGCCATGCTACGTTTCTTACATTTTGCTATTTTCGCAAATGCCTTAATAATGGATTTCATTAAGCTTTGGTGTTTACTAAGCAACAATAATTACAAATAATGCGCTTCAGAAGAACCAGCAAACCCGTACGCCATCTATTTGAGTGTATGTTTGTATGTAATATATATATGCATATAAGTATCCAATACGAGCGCGGTGAACCTCGCGAAAGTTCAGCAAGCCCTCAAATACATTAAACAGCCGGCAAACAATACAAGCTGAAATTAAAATCCTCGAGAAACTTCAATCAGCAAACACAAACAGTCGTACAAACAAAGCGAGCAAACCAGAAATAAATGCTAATGAAATAAGGCGTAAGAGAAATAAAAAACTTAACGCTTGCAAACAGAAATTAAAGCAAGCAACAAGGACGCAACGCCGCTCAAACAGCCGAAAAAGTCCAAAGACGGAAGTGCAGCAACCCCACCGTCAATTAGTACTCGAAATAGATTTGAATATTTATGCTTATTGCCTAACCAGCCACACTCCTAAAACAACCCCCTTCCTCCCCTCACTACGCCAAAATGAGCACAAGTGCGCAATAAGAAAGCACAAAGCTAGGCGCTGCGCAGGTCAGCCTGTAAATTAGGATTAAGTCAACGCC